CCCATGGGTGCATATTCTGATTCCTTAGTCCTTTGCCTGTATATGTAAATTCTCATTTCTTTTTTTTTTTAATGTTTATTTTATTTTTGAGAGAGAGAAAGACAGAATGTGAGCAGGGGAGGGGCAGAGAGGGAGACACAGAATCCGAAGCGGGCTTCAGGCTCTGAGCTGTCAGCACAGAGCCTGACATGGGCCTCGAACTCAGGAACTAAAAAATCATGACCTGAGCTGAAGTCAGATGCTTAACCAACTGAGCCACCCAGGTGCCCCAAAATTCCAATTTCTTTATTCAGTTTTAAATGAGTACATCAGTAACACTATCTCCTAAAGTGTTCCTCCTGCGAAAAATTAATTCCTGATCTCTATCAAGGAGAGAAACTTCTATGACTCCCCTTTCCCAGCACATAAACAGTACTTAAATAAGAAAGGCCTAACTTTGGTGACATCTTGAGAATAAAGGTCAGGTCTTTAGAAATTAGAACACAAGTAGCTTCTTAGGAAGGTTTTTTTTCTTTAAGGCAGATTAAAGGTTCAAATGGAAAAGTTGTTCAGTATTCAGTAACTGTCTTTAGTTGCTTTGTACAGCTGTACAACAATTAACTTGGACAAATTATTTAACATCTTTGTTCTTTAGTTTGTTTTATTGTGTAAAATGGGGAAAATAGGGGCATCTTTGTGGGTCAGTCAGTTGGGCATCTGACATTGGCTCAGGCAAGATCTTAAGGTTTGTGGGTTTGAGCCCCACATCAGGCTCTGTGCTGATAGCTTAGAGGCTGGAGCCTGCTTCGGATTCTCTCTCTCTCTCTCTCTCTCTCTCTCTCTCTCTCTCTCTCAAAAATAAACAGTAGAGGGGCGCCTGGGTGGCTTAGTCGGTTAAGCGTCCGACTTTCGCTTAGGTCGTGATCTCGCGGTTCGTGGGTTCGAGCCCCGCGTCGGGCTCTGTGCTGACTGCCAGCTCAGAGCCTGGAGCGTGTTTCAGAGTCTGTCACTCCCTCTCTCTCTGACCCTCCCCTGCTCACGCTGTCTCTCTCTCTCTCTCTCCTAGAAATAAATAAAAATATTTTTTTTAAAAAACAGTAAAAAAATTTTTTTAAAATGGAGAATAATAAGACCTGTGTTAATAAATTTTTGAGAGGATTAAATATTCATATGAAGACCTTAGTATACCTAGCACAGAGCCTGTGCTTAATACGTGTTAGCTAATAATACAATCAGAAAAGATGGTGAGATCACGTTAGGGATTGATCTGTTAAGGCTTAACTGAGGATTGGAGTGTTTGAGAAAGGAGGATTTGAGTAGTTTTGAAGGATAAGTACAAATTGGCTAAGTGGAGAGAAGGAGGGCATTATAGATTTGGGGGAATGGCATAAGACTCAAGGTGGAGAAGGAAAGGAAGGGAAGACAATATTATGAACCATTTGGGCTGGAGGAGACAGCTCAGAAATTTAGTATAACCGAAACTCTTCTGAGAACTCCAGAGTGAGTAGAACGGTGAGGTGAAGAAGGATGCAGGTGGTCTGGATTGGCCTCCTCTCACTTGGCTACTTCCCAGGAAGGCCTCCTGGAAGGAGCTACTACTGCCATGCTCGGGGATCCCCTGGTCCCTTGCTATGCTTCCTTGCTTTTTGTCCCCCTCCTGGTTACAGTCAGCAGGTAAGTTGCAAATCTCTTGTCTTTCTTAGTGTCATTGGCCTACTCATAGTTTTTCCAAGGAAAGGATTTAAAACGAGCTTGCTAGGACTTCATGGAATGTTTTGAAAGTGAATTCGGTTAGCCTTTTGGCCAGGGTAGAGATAAGAGCCTTCCCTCTGTTGCCTTCTGCCCACAGAGTGGTGGAGCTCAGGGACTTTCTCAGCAGCTTTAGGGAAAGGAGAGGTTTGTTTTCTCTTAAAAACACATTGTGTGAAGTCTTTTGATATTTTCTAATTTCAAGACATTTTTAAGACACGTTTTCTCTCTTGAAAAAGAATTCTTGTCTTGACCTTGTCTTGGGAGCACTTACTCTCAGGGGTAATCAAGGATTGCAAAGAAAAGTAACATTTTAGTTAAGTTCCTTATATTGACCATGGTCTGCATAAGGAGTGATATAAAGCAAAGGAAGCATTTTTGCCTTAATCTTCAGCCTAACCACCCCCTTGTATGTGTGTGTATATGTGTATGTGTGAAGATGTGCATATATTATGCATGCGTATATATTTCTAATATTTCACTCCTCTTCCCAGAAGGGTTACGGAATGGTGTACATTTTGTTACAATGCAGTTTCTATCATGTAGCCACAACTGTACTGCCCCTTTCAGGTTTCATGAATGATTAAAATAAGTGACTTTGGAATATGTCATTTAACACACACTGCGACCCTTCAGTTATTTTATGTTTCAGTTTGTATGAAAAGAATGCCCTTTTTAAATAAGTATTTAAGTTCTAATTTTTGTCTTTTTTTAAAGGAATAATGAATATTGGAATTTATAGAAAAATATTTTTGTGCTCATTTTCACGAGTAACATTTAAACATTTCTGTGGACTCAGCAGGATTAATGACAAGGTCCTCATCGATAGGTCCTCTTGTTTGGCATTCTAATCTTAAATATATGTGTACTTTGTCACCTCCCCTTTTTCTCTAAAAGGGTACTATTGCAATCAGTGCATTTATCAGTCGGTATGCACACTTCAAACTTTTTTTTAGTAAGCTGCTAATGAACTTTACATTTCAGCATTTTTTCAGGTTTTTTTTTTCATTGTTTTCCCATTGTACTTATTAAATACTTTCTGTGAGCAGAAAGCACTTTCTAGCGAGCAGGTTTCAATTCTGATACCAGCTTTGGTCAGTTGTGCACAGTAGTGCACAGTAGTGCACTGTTTTGAGAATTCTTATCCTATGACCATCTCTGTAAAGGAGTGCCTTGATTGATTAGTGCTGTGTGACCATGAAGCATCTGATGGAAGAGTGGTGGCGTACATAGCTTTGTCAGCTGAAATGGGGATGTATGAATGTTTTCAGACCTTTCCTTCCTTCCTTCATATGTGAAGATTATCTATAGTCGTTTTTCTGAATTCACTTGAAACAGCTTATGATTTTCTGTATTGTTAGAGAATTTTCTTCTCTGCCAAAGCAGAATTAATGATTCCTTTATTGTTGCTGTAATGGCCCTTTATTACCTTAATTTTAACGCTTATTTCTTCATCATCAATCATTTACTTGTCTGGGTCCACTATAGGTTGTGAACTTCTTAAAGGAAAGGACAGTATTTTATTTATCTGTACGTTTACCCTTGGACAACACAGGCTTCAACTGCGTAGGTCTGCTTACATGCAGATTTTTTTTTTCCCATAAATACAGTGAAGTATGATGAATTTATTTTTCTTTTCCTTACAATTTTAACCTTTTTTCTTCCCTAGCTTACTTTATTGTAAGAATACAATATATAATACATATAACATACAAGATGTGTTAATCGATTGTTTATGTTGTTGGTAAGGCTTCTGATCAACAAGGCCAATAGCAGTTAAGTTTTGGGATAGTCAAAAGTTACATATGGATCGACTGCGTGGTTGGGTTGGTGACCCTAACCCTGTATTGTTCAAGGGTCAACTGTGTGTCCTTGACACCTAACACTGTGCTTGGTACATGTCTCACGTATTCAAAAAGTAAGATAGTTTGTTATTTCCTTAATGACCTCAATGATGTTTTATATGAATGTTGAGACATTTATTATATTTGAAGATGAGGTGATTAAATGTAACTCCTAGGATGCCGGTGGTATGAATCAAAAGGAAGATGTAGATGCTTTAGGTAAGAGTAGATAAGTCCGTGCGTTTTTGGAATACAGAGAGACTTGGGGTCTGAGTTTCCATGTGTGAATAAATGGTGATACCATTAGAAAAACAAAGATGAAAGGGTAGCTTTGGGTGGCATGAGTTTGTTTTTGGAAAGGTTGGATTTTGATAAAAAATGTTTGTATATTAGTTTTAGAGGTAAGAATTTGGTAGTTGGCTAGTTGGATAGCTTCCTCTGTTATATGTTCCATAGCTCCCTACTTTATTATAATTAATTGTTCAGTGTCCGTCTTTCCCTTTAGGCTCTGAGGTCCAGTAGGGCAGGGAACCTGTCTTGTTAAAAGCTGTATCCTCAACTACAAATGCAATTATTGGACGTGGCAAGCACTCAGTAAATAATTGTTCAGTGATTTCACATCTGCACTATTCATTGATTTAAATGGTATCCTATCATCTTCAATTTATGTTGCTATGGGTAATTGCTTTTCTTGGAATCATTGGAATTTTAAACTTATGATTTTAGAAATCTTTGGCACATTCCCCAATTGGACCCTGGAAATGTGAAGTCACCTACGCAAAGTCATTGGACCACACTCTGGATTTAGCTACAGATAGTATTTACTGATGGGGAGAACCATAGTTACTTATTCAAAGAAGTGTGCACACAGTATATATTTTTCAGGCTGATAAGGGGGAAAATAGAATGACGGTTTGAATGGACTATGGAGATTTCTGTAGTCTGCCTTTCTCTCCCTCTTCTTTAGTCATTTCTCTCCTTTCTAGTACCTTGACCAGTAGCCATGGAAAAGATTAGAAAAGAGATGAAATTTTATTTGCGGTTGCTGGCAACATTAGATTTTTAGTTTCTAATGATTAACATGAGTTTCTGGGTAAGCTATTGATTTTCTTTCCTCCTTCCTTGTCCGTGTGAGCATGGTGAATAATATTCGTTCTGGGTTCACCATTATTTGATGTGCTATTGAACTCTTACGTGCTATTGGACTTTGTTTAAACAATACCTTCTGTAAAACAAAGTTTAGAAAAGATGGATCTGCCTGAGATCATAATCAGAAGATACAATTGATCATCAGATTAAAATAAAATAAACTTCCAGTGTTTTCTTTTATAGCTTCCCAAACACAGTACACTTTTGGTTAGAACATATAACAAATATTCCCTTAATTTAGATTAGATTAAAAATTTATAATTTGTTTGTTTGTTTCAGTATCAAGATAAAGAGGAAGTTGTCTTATGGATGAATACTGTTGGGCCCTACCATAATCGCCAAGAGACATATAAGTACTTTTCACTTCCATTCTGTGTGGGGTCAAAAAAAAGCATCAGTCATTACCATGAAACTCTGGGAGAAGCACTTCAAGGAGTTGAATTGGAATTTAGTGGTCTGGATATTAAATTCAAAGGTAAGTAAACCTTAATAGTCCTTATAATACAAGTCAGATTATAGGCCAGCATTTCTCAGCTTTGGCACTGTTGATACTGGGGCCAGATATTCTTTTCTGTGGGGGGCTGTCCTGTACATTGTAGGATGTTTAGCAAAGTCCTTGGCTTCTACGCAGTAGGTGCTAGTACCACCTTCCAGTTGTGACAGCCCAGCCTGTCATCAGACGTGGCTGATTGACCCTAGAGAACCACTGCTCTAGACTCTAAAAAATGTTTTAATCTGTAAGTTAAGTTGCATAGTATGTTAGTAAGTAACAAAGTTTTATTTTGAATATTTGTAAAATAATAAAATAAATAATTGTTGATAAAATTCTATTTCCTAACCTATTTCTTTCTGAAAAGTGATTTCTAGTAAACCCTCTAGTTGTTGGACATATGTGGTTGGGGAAGGCTGTCAGAGATTCATAATTTCTGGAGGTATAGGAATGTCATGGGGCATATGGGTACTTAAAAATTCTGCATAAAGCCTCAAATTCAGACTTGTACCATTGGCTCTGAATGCATTTATCAGTGGGTGTTAATTTAGTCTCTCAATTCTAGTAGGATAGTGTGGTTTTAAATTTTAAGTCAAAGACTTGTTAAAACTGGAAAAAAACCCCATCTAGTTATTATGCAGGTATTTATTTTATCAAGCCCTTTAAGTGTAAAGTGTTTAAACTTCTGATTTTTCTCTGTGAAATTAGCCAGAGATTGTATTTCCTGCATAGACATTTTTAACCCAGTGAACAGAAGCCTGAATGATTGAATTTTTACAGGATCTTTGATTAGGTGTCCTGATTTTTGAATAGAGCTTGGATCTTGTAATCAGGAGATTTAATTTTAATCCTATTTCTATTACTGCATTGATTTTACTGAAGCTCTTTACTCTCATTTTGACTTCATTGTCTACAAGTGTAAAATGAACAGTAACTGCTGCTATTTTTCCGCTTTTCAGAAAAGGATGTGAATTGAGATTTTTAAAGATAATATTTTAAAGATAATGTTTAATTTTGACTGGTTAAATTTTATTCTTGTTTTCAGAATATTTTTATTGTTGTTGAAAACATGTACATATTTACATTCTTCTCCCCACCCTCTTCCTGCACTGTGTTCTTTGGGGCTTAATTATAAAATTAAGTTGTAAATGTAAACCACAGTGGCCTGCCTGTAACTTTATAAATTATTGTAAACACACCCTGAGGCTTGTGTTTTAATTTAATCAGGCAACATAACTACTTAATTGCAAGTAAGGAGAAAACTTGGACTAGTGTGTGGGATCTTTGAGAACTTCAGTTCTACGTTTATTCACATAACTTTCTCCTTGTTCATATTTGGTGCGCATTTCTAATTTACCAAGGAGGAATCAGAGAGAGAATAGATAGGCAGAAACTCTGAGTCCTACTTTGCTGTCATGGACAGATTTGATCACTTTTTGAAGTCCTTAGCCTGTATACCAAAGAAGAGTAATCATTCAGCTGTTTTCACTTGTCCTCTTTTATTAGCTCCTTGAGGCCGAAATGGGTAGATTGGTTAGATAGAGGGGAACGGTTTTTGTGGGTTGTAAAAGTGGGTTTTATTTTCCTTTCTAACTAAGCACCTTTTAATGAAAAGCACAAGGACTGGCCAGGTGTTATTCCCGGAGAGTTGGTGGTTCCTTGGAGCCTTCTCAGCTCTGCACCTCCAGCGCGGGCGGATGTGCTGCTAAGGGAGCTGCTAAATTAAGTGGTCCAGATGAAAAAGTAAATGCTGATGAGATTTCTCTTTCTACTGTAGTCTTTTGCTTGCCCAATTCAAAACCATAGTTGATCATGCTTTGAGCAATGTTTTACTAGGTTTCCTGGTTGTTATTTATAGTGTCATAGAATTTTAAAGGTTGGATGTGCCTTAGAGATTGTCATCTGATTTCCTCTTAGTGAGGCCCAGAGATGAAATGATTTGCCCAAGGCGTATCCCAGCATACTAATAATGCCACAAAACTCGAACCTTCGGTCCCTATGTGAATTATAGAAACAGTTATATTGTTAATCTTTTCATCTCTCAAGTATTTGATTTTTAAAGGTTCTTATCAAGGCATATTCAAATAAATAAAGTTTTGGAAATATTTCAAAACTAGAAAATACTATATAGGTCTATACATACACACTTATATGCACACACAGATATACACACACACACACCTTTTTAAAAATATAGTAGATTCTGCCAGGCAAAATGAATTGGTATTATTTCATAAAATGAAGGTCACTAAATTGACTTTTAGGAAACTAGTGATAGTCTTTAGTCTAATGAAGGGTGCCTCTCACTTGAGATTTTATGCATAACTTTTTTTTTTCTCCCAATACTGCTATATACTACCATTAGACAATATACTAAACTGAGAAGAGAACATTTAAAGAAAATTACAAAGAGAGGGGAAGAATTAAGTTGGGTATCTTTGAACCAGGCCTGAATTCGTTACCCTATGATTTTAGAGGGTACCTCTCGGAACCCTACCATCGTGGAATGGAGAAAACGTGCTTCAGAGTCCAAGAGACTTGATGCATCCCAGTGCCACCTCTGCCTACCTGTTTAGCCATGGACAAGTTATTCTTCCGCTTTTATCTCATTTTCCTCATCTGTGAAATGAGGGAAATGATACACTTGATAGAATTGTTTGATTTAAATGAGGTAATTTATATAGAGCATTTATCAAAGTTCCTGATATCATTTTTAAAATGGTCATTGATAGGAATACTAATCACACAGTGCGTGTCTATAGTTCCAACTTAATTTTGTATTAGCAATTATGAAATATTAAACTAGTTTATTGATTAGAGGATTTGATTTATCCTCAAGCTATTGCACTAGCTTGCTAGGTAGTTTAGTTCTGCTAGGACGGGGACAGTGGCATTCTTGTTTACTGTTGCATCTTTAGCTATTAGGACATTTTAAGCTCTTTTTTTTTTTTAAGGTTTTTTTTTATTTAGAGAGAGAGCGAGAGAGTGAGCACTCGTGGGTGGGGAGGGGCAGAGAGGAGAGTGAGAATCCCAAGCAGGCTCAGAGCCTGACACAGGATTCGATCTCACGAATCATGAGATCATGACCTGAGCCAGACTCAAGAGTCAGATGCTTAACTGAGCCACCCAGGCGCTCCCTATTTGTTCTTTTAAAATAAATTTTTTTAATGTTTATTTTTGAGAGAGAGGGAGAGAGAGAGAGACAGAGTGTGAGTCGGGGAGGTGCAGAGAAAAAGGGAGACATAGAATCTGAAGTAGGCTCCAGGCTCTGAGCTGTCAGCACAGAGCCCGATATGGGGCTCGAACCCACAAGCTGTGAGATCACGACCTGAGCCGAAGTCACATGCTTAACTGACTGAGCCACCCAGGCACCTCTGTGCCTGTCTGTTCTTTATGATCATTGGTTCACTGTGATCTTTAGATGATCTGGAATAGTAATTCCTAACCAGGGGAGGTCACTGTCCATTCCCCTGTCCCCTCATTTGAGCATTCTTACAGCATAATGAAGGATATTGTTGAAAAATTGATGGCTTCTAGAGGCTTCTTTCCTCCCATTTGTTTTATTGACCTTCTTTTGAATTTTCTTTTCCTTGAGTATCCCAACTTAACAGAGGGATGAAATTATTTCATAAGTATTTCTTTTACTTCTCTAGAATGAAATTATAAGTTGAGAGCATTACAGATACAGAAAAATGCCAAAGACGACTATGAGTCTTCTGTATTTATAATTTAGTGATTCTCAGTCTTGACACTTTTCATCCTCAGTGTTATGAGGTGTATTATCCCTAGTTTTCAGATGAGGAGGTTGGGGCCCAGACATTGAGTAACTTGTTCAAGGATTCACAGATGCAAAGTGGCAGAGTAAGGATTTGAACCTAGGGAACGCAGGGCTAGATTTAGAGCTTTTAACCACAGTGCACTATGTCCTTCCAGATAGATACCTGTCTGTGTGGTAAGGGCCTGATTGCCAGAGAGTGGGGGAAAGGCTGGAGAAGTGGCAGGGCCTTTCATTCTGCCTAAAGATGTTTACTTAAGTCAGTCCCCCCACCCTGGTTTCAGTCCCTGGAGTCTACTCGCCCTGATTCTGCAAGCTTTTTGTTGGAGTTCTCTAGGGGAAGGTGCCTCTGCTCTACTGGAGGGAGGAATTGAGGTTATTCGTCTAGCTTTGTGGTGAGTGGAAAAGGGAACTTGGGCATTCAAGCCTTCCATAAACATATTTTTATACAGTTCCTCTGTGTGTTCAGCCCTACATCTGTCCCCTACTTTGTGACTTGTGTGGTGCCTTTCAAGTCCTGAGAATCTGAAGCGTCCCTTGTGTTCTGTGACACCAGCCCCTTTCTGTTAAGGTTTCCTCTGCTTTGTTAGTGATTTGCCATCTTCTGTTCATTTTCAGTGTTCCAAAAATGCATTGAAATCTTACTGTCCTCTTTTCGTCCTTTTGTACCTACATCCTTTTTTTCCTTTATTGACATTTTAATGGAGTTTCAGGAGGGAAAAATACATACTTGTGGTTAATCTGCCTTGTTTAATTGGAAGTCTGGGAGCTTAATGCCATATTTTGTCCTGTTGGTTTCAACCAAAGTGTTTTAGCCAGACCAAATCATGTGAATCTTGTACTGAATCTTGCATTTAGGTATTTTGAATTCTTGGTGTTAGCAATTCCTTAAACTTTATGCTAACTGCAAATTTGAATAGCCTGGGCTTTTTATTATAAGTTCCTATTCAGACCAGTGGTAACATTGTTCTACTCCAGATTAATGTCTTTTTTTTTTTTCCAAAAGAATGTATGTGTAGGTATTTTTTCCTAATTTTGGCAATGATACAGGATCAGTGTACAAAATTTAGAAACTGCAGAGAAATATAAAGCAGTAAATTAAAATCACCTGGATATAATTATCATTAACATTTTCTTCCATCCTTCTTTACATTCATCCTACATTATTTAGAATTTTAAAAAATTGGGGGGCGCCTGGGTGGCTTAGTCG